GTCATCGTCGTCGCTCTGTCTCTCTCGCACTCGTGGGGCTAGCGGTGTAGGTGCGAGAGAGACGGAGGAAACGACTCTCGGGTCAGTCTGCGGAGTGGTGCGCTTGGGTCCGCCACCCCTTTTCGCAACCCCGCTCGCTAATTGCATTTAAGACGAATAATTATCTCGGACTTACGACCCGCGCGGCGACTTCCGGTCAACTTCCGGTCCGCTTCCGGGACGCTTCCGGAAGACGGCGCACGAGCTCTTCCGGGTCGGCGACGCGATGGGGCTCCGGTGTCCGGGCTGCTGCCAAGGCTGCCAAGGCCCCAAAGGAGTGGCCGGGGGGATGCGCGACGCCCAAGCAGTGTCGCGCTGTCTCTCTCGCACGCACGGGCGGGCGTGAAGGGGAGCGAGAGAGACAGCGACAGGGCCTTCCGGGCAGCGCACGGAGACGGCCGCCCTCGCCAACACAGGCGGCAAGGTCGCGCGGAAAACGAAATTTGGCGTCCTCCAAAAACCGCACCCTGTAAGAGAAATTCAGCTCTGGGGTTTTCACGCGAACAGACGAAACAAGGGCTGTTGGGGTAGGTCGCAACCAGTGCAGGGTGTTCGCCCCCTCCCACACCCCGCCAGAGTCTCGAGTGTCTCGCGCTCGCCCGGGCTGCGCTGCACAGTGGGCCAGAAGACCGGCGCTGGCGGCCAAAACTCTGGACGAGTTTTGAGCTCCAGAGTCGCTGAACATGACTCGAATCGAACGTGTGACCCCACCAATGGATTCCTCGTTCGGAGAGCAATCCATTGGTGGGGTCACACGTCCTGTTCGAGTCCCATTTAGCGACTCTGGAGCTCAAAACGCGTCCGGGGTTTTGACCGCCTCCACCGGTCCTGCGGCCCACTGTGCGCTGCCATGGCGCTGCCCTGAGCGGTCCCCGGCCCGAGTAGCTCGGCAGCTCGGCATTGTAATGAACGTGGTTTAACGAGGGCGCTTAAGACGCATAATGTGTCGACTTAGCGCCGCCCACAGCCCGGATCTGGCCGCTTCCGGCCCATTTCCGGCGCCAGGGTTCCGCTATGTCTTTCCGGGCTCCTCCGTGCTCGTCGTCGGCGTCCTCCGGGTCCGCCCTCCGGTCTCGGACGCGGTCCGGGCCGGTTCGGACGCCGCCGCCCGGTGGTCAAGGCAGCGTCCCACACAGCGCGACAGCGTCTGTCTCTCTCGCACTGACGCGGCGGCCCGTGCGGGTGCGAGAGAGACAGAGCGACGAGAGCACCGCCCCGCCTGGAAACAAGGCGTCCATTGTTTTCTGGAAGGAAAATGATTTATGTCACTCGGTAACGAGTTGGAACGTCGGGCCGCAGTGTCGCTTTTCTCCGGCCGTTCGCGTTCGTGTGGGATTGGCGGATCGGCGGCCGTTTAGCGGTAACCACTGCCGAATTCGGCCGTCCTACTGGTCTTCTGGCCCACTGTGCGTTGCCAGGCAGGCCGCTTGGCGCGCGTCCCTGGCCGTTCCCATGGCTGGGCTGCCCATGGCGACGGGTTAGTCGTTCGCTTGGCGCGGTGACGAGCTTTTAATTGCACCCACCGCGTTCAGGCAACAAAAGACCGCCGAAAAGCCCAAAAGCGTGGACAACGAAAGCGGAAACGGCGCGGAATTTCAAACAGCGGCAGCGGCGCCGCCGGTCAGTTCGACGATTCGACACCAGGGTGCGTGGCACTGCGTGGCACTGCGTGGCACTGCGTGCCTGCGAGTGCCAGACAGTGTGGCGGCGGGCCGCGGCCGGCCAGGGCTTCACGAGTTTCATTTGTTCCAGGTAATTACCAATTAGAATGCCCCAGCCGCGGCAGCCAGCGCGCCAGCGCGCGGACATGGCGATGCATTGTGTCTCCGGCGCTCCGGCGGGAGAGGTGGACCGACTGTGTGATCTCATCAGCGGACCGATCCCGAGAGTCGCTCTGTCTCTCTCGCTCCTAAGCGGCACGCCCCGTGAGTGCGAGAGAGACGGAGCGAGGCGCGGGGCGAGGGAGGAGGTGGCCCTAAATGGACCGGCGGACGGAAGCGCGGAATCGACCAGTACGCGAGTGCGAGAGAGAGAGAGAGAGAGAGAGAGAGAGAGAGAGAGAGAGAGAGAGAGAGACGGTGCACCGATTGGCCGGTCGGGCCTTTCAATCGCGCCGGTTTGCTGCGGATGTCGAACACGGGTGTGAAAATAAAAGCGTGACACGAGGGGGGAGGGGGAGGGGGAAATGTCACACTCGGGAAGCGAGCGGAAAAATAAAGCGGATTTCGTGGCGTTCGTTTCCAGTGGCGCTGTCGCTGTTTTCACCGGTCTTCTGGCCCACTGTGTGCCGCTCGCCGGCCGGATAGAGAGGCTGGTGGAGAGGCGCCCTGAATGTAGCCGTAACTAGCCTTTCACCGCATTGTCGTGGTCCTGGTCCTCTATCGAGGATGTGACTCTGTCGCCGCGTTTGCCCACCGCGGGCTGGTGCCGAACGCCGTCGCTCCGTCTCTCTCGCACTCACGGGGGGCGTCGCGAAGGGGAGCGACGAAACCACTACACCGCACGGCCAGCCACGCCGCCACGGCAGCCCGCGGCGCCCCCGGCAACAATTAATACCGGAGTCCTCCGGCGACAATGCAGGCCATGGCGGTCCCTTGTTGCTGTTTCGAAGCGAACTTACGCCTTTGTGTCGGCAGCCTGTGTGTGTGTGTGTGCGTGCGCGCGCGTGCGTGTGTCGACAGACGTGTCGCTTTGAATAAACCCTTTGGGGAAAAAGCGCGCGTTGAGTATCTGCCAATAATACCGTTTCACCTGCGAGGAGTAAAGCGACTGGTTCCGCACAGCTGTCGTCTCTCTGTCTCTCTCTCTCTCTCTGCTCGAATCCCACACGGCGCCCCGCAAGATAGAAAGAGACAAGGATAGAGACTGCAGGCGCACCCCGCCGCCTTTTGTGCGTCGTGCGCCCTGCTCTCGTCGTCCTCGGCGCCCTCGTCGGCGTCCTCACCGTTCGCCAATGTGGCGGGGCCGGGCGGGGCGCGGCGGGGCGCGGCGGGGCGAGGCGGGGCCCCAATCAGCCAGATTATTGACACAATACCGCTGATTAAAGGCACAATGGCGGCGATGGCTGCGAATCGGCGAGTCAGCGCTAGAGAGACTCTCGAGACTCTCGCAGACACCGACTCCGGAGGGGCTCTGCGCGGCGCGGCCAAGAGATCTCTTAATTGGACCAAGCGCGGCCCTTGCAGTGTGCGGGCCGCGATCGCGCGGCGAAGGCGACGCCGTGGGAAGCGCATCGGCTCCGTTCCAGTTTCTTCAACAGACTCCTGATCAGTATTTTAATTCTGTTATTGCTTGTTTATTGTTACTAAAGGTGGGTCACTGATGATGCGCCCGAACTCTCGGGCTGAAGAGATGCAGGAAAGCGGACTGCAGCTGACGCGGGCTGTCGTCGCCGCTGGGGCCGCTGGGCAGTGCGGCTGCCACGGGATGGGATGACATGGCCGCTGGACGCGGGACGCGGGACGCGGCGACGCGGCAGAGCTCAAAGCGTCTCAAAGCCAGAGCAAATAAGAGCTAATGAAGAGGGCGGTGCCAGCCCGGCCCAGCCCAGCCCGGCCCAAAGAGCGGGCCGTGCCCCCGGGGCGGGGGCGGGGCGGGGCGGGCGGGGCGGGGCGGGGCGGGGCGGGGCCCGGACGGTGCGGCGGCCACGCCCCTCGGCCGCCACTTTGCTCGCGTTTTACTTTGATACAGCCAGAACGGAGAAGTTGGTTTAAGGACGATGAATCGACTCTTTGCGCTCGGCTCCCTCTCGTGCCTCTGTGTGTGTGTGTGTGTGTGTGTGTGTGAGCGTGTGTGAAGGGGCCGACGCGGCCGAAGGGGCCCACCCTGCCGACACGCCGCCGCCTCTCCGCGCTGCCACGCCACTGTGTGGTGCTGTGTGGTGTATCCGTGGGAATGCCACTCCAATGACACTAATTATTGCTCATCGGCAGCCCTATGCAGCCTCCTGGACACCTTGTGTCGGGGCGTCGTCGGGCCGTGCGTTGGTTGTGTGTGCACTGCCCTCATTGCGGTGTTTAGCTCCGACACCGGCGGGACGGTCGCGAAAATGGCAAGGCCGGACACGCCCCGTGGAGGCCCGGGCATTTGTCAGCGTGGCAGTTTTGCAGTGGGGAGGGTCTCCGGGGAGAGGGGAGGGCGGAGGGGGAGCACTGGCTTTTGGCGCCTCGGAGGTGTTTCCTGCCTAATTGTGCAATCAGTAGTGCAGGCTCCGCGCTGACGCCAGTGCTTAGTGCCGCACACACAGACAGACACACTCACACACACAGGCGCACCTGTCTGCCATTCCGTGTAGGTGGCACCGTGACTAATACCCCAGCGGGCCATGGTGCGTGGCAGTGTGGCAGTCGGACCGTCGCAGCGCTACCCCGCGCGCGAGGGACTCTCGGCGGGGATGGCGTGGAGAGTCCCTCGCACGCGGAGTAGCGGAGCAAACGCGAACGCGGGTCGCTAAATCTGACCGCCGCTCGGCTTCTTCTCCTTCTTCTTCTTCTCTCTGCTCCTCCTGTGCGCCGTTTTCTGCATGACACTGTACTGCCCGGGGCTGTTTGCTCCGAGTTTGCTCGTCGAGACGCGATTCGCCACGGCAACGGGCCGAGCCCCACTGAGACACTGTAAGTTTCCGCAAAGTTGGGTCATTCCTGGGCGAGCCGGGCCGGCCGGCGGCGCTCTGCTCTAATCGACCCGCATCAGGCGTGGCGCCAGGCCCGCCTACACTGCAAAAGGAAGGCTTTCGCAGTGCACCAGTTACCAGTTTGCGCGGGGCTTTGCCTCGACTTCTGTGTGCGTAACTCTATCGTCGTTGGTAATTTCGACCTGGTGAGAGAGTGCCTCGCACCTTGCTGTGCGCTGGCTGTGCGCCCGCAGAGTCGAGGGTAGGCCACCCGCTCGCTGCCATGCGTCGTATTTCGGCTAATCGCTGCTGTTATTTTGGTGACTTTAGGGAAAAACAAGAGGCAAGGTTCTGTAACAGTGACGGTCTTTTATTAAAAATAATAATCTGATTCTTTTCCGTCCGCGTCCAGCCCAACCAAAAACAACAAAAGCCGCTCAATCCTCCTTCTTCTTCCTCTTCCTCGGCGCCAGCCCGCTGGAGAACTCCGAGATGGCCATCTTGGTGGCCCTGGCCTCGGACACCTTGACGCCGAAGGGGGAGGGCTTGCTGTGCACCGCCTGCGTGCTCTTCATGGCCGCGCCCGAGCCCGGCTTGCCGTCCATGATCTTGCCAGTGCCCCTGCCGCCCGCCAGCCCGCGGCTCGAACCCGGTCCGCTGCAACAACAAAAACAAAACCGTCAACAACGGGGCGAAGACAAGGCCTCCAGCGTCCCCTTCCTGGACGTGCAGGCCCGCGTCCAGGACGCTACACTGGCGCGGCACGCGCTGAGGAAGGCACGGCGCTGGACAGAGCACGCCCTCTCCACCTCTCCTCTTTTTATTCTGTCTCTCTTTTCCCCGCGGGTGCACCGCGGCGGACCCGTGGCTTACTCGCTCCGTCTCTCTCGCACCGGCTCTGTCGGTGTGTTTGAAGAAGCCGTCAGCCCGACGCCGCCAGTGGGGCCGAGCGAGCGGAGTGCCGCGGCACAGAAGGATTCCGCCCCGCCCCGCCCCGCCCCGCCCCGCGCACGAGCACGCCACTTGACGCGTTGGACACGGGCCGGCTAGGGGCCGGGCGTCCACTGCAGGCCAGTCCAAAGGGCTCGGCCGCCGGCCGCCCCGCCGCCCCGCCGCTCGGCTGGAATGGCCGCAAGAACATCAGCCGCCAGAGCGGCGGGGCGGCGGGGCGGCGCGACGCGTCTTCAATCACGCCGGCCGGCCAACGCCACGCGGCTACTTTTTTTAACGATTTCCTCTGATCATCATTCCGGGGGCCGTGGCAGGCCGGCCGCGGCGGTGAAATGCCGGCCGGTGGCGGTTAGGCGTTAGGCCGCGCGGCTGACGGCAGTGTGGCGGCGGGCTGCCTCGCTCGCGAACGGCGGCACGGCCACCACGCCTCGGCGAGCGCGAGCACGGCGTCGGCCGAGGCAGCCAAGCCTGCTTTCCGAATTCCAGATGCGCTTAATAGTTTTCTATTTAATCCGGCGGAATCCGCGGGCAGCCTCCCGACGCCAGAGGCGGGGCGGGGCGGGGCGGGGCGGGGCGGGGCGGGGCGGGCGGGGCGCCTCACAAATCGACTTTACCGCACGGCTGCGCTCGTAGCGCTCACAGGCGGCGGGCCTGGCGGGCGTGGCGGGCCGCGCCACTACACTAGAGGCAGCGCTCATTACCGGCAAGATAAAGAAGACCCATACGGCTTGATTCGCTGATGAAGCCGACGGCCTCGGCCCGCCCCGCCTGCCCCGCCCCTCGCGCACCCCTTCCCGTCGTCCTGGAGAGGAGTCCCGCGCGGCGGGGCGGCGCGCCGGGCGCGTTTTTTACGCCCCTTTTAGAGCTTTTAGCGGCCGACTTGCGAGCCGAGCCGCCATTACGGCCCCGGGGGTCTGCCCCTTGGTCTGCCCCCGCCGCTCTGTCTCTCTCGCACTCGCGGGGCGCCCCGTGGGGGTGCGACAGAGACAGAGCGACACTCTTCAGCGCTGCCGCGGCGTTCCCTGCCAATAAGCGCCGTCGTGTGAATAGCGCCTCACTTCGCTGGAAGGCTATTCGCAGGAGGCATTCCTCGCTCGCGGCTGCGGAGTGAGAGAGTGAGGTAGTTACGGCGTCGCCGCCATCATCATCAGATTAATTAAATTACCAGTGATAAAGCCCAGAAGGGCCAAATCCGGCCGGCAACAACGGCAGCGACAATGGCCGGCCGGGCGGGCACTGCTGGGCCCGGGGGCACATCGGTACCGCATTGGTACCACATTGGTGCCAGGCCCGCGCACCGCGCCTCGCCCCGAGGCAGTCCGAACACAATCCAGGTACTGATTAATGACCACACAGGTAGCAAGACGCGCCAATCAATGCGCATCCCCACGGGACGCGCCGACGACGACCGACGACGCGCCCAGCACCGCGGGAACCGGTAGGGACTCGGGACGTGGGGCCCGGGCCTGCACCGAGGCCTGCGCGGACCCGCGGGGATCTACGCGGACCTACTGAGCACTCCTCGGGCGGGACTCCACGCCGCCGATCCAACGCCAACCCGTTCAATCAAAGCTCCCGAATGCAACAGAAACAAATCGGCGCCGGCATTCGCGCCGCCCGGGGCACCCCGATGACTTCGCCTAGCGCGGCCAGCGCGGCCAGAGCAGATGGGGCGCGGACGCCGCGAGAGGAACCGCTCGACGGAGAGAAACGCGCATTAGGCGGGGAGCGAGGAGGACAGCGACAGGCAGCCAGAGCGAGAGAGACAGGCAGAGAGGGCGACCACGCGCCGCGCCGCGCCGCTGCAGCGCGCTACCCAGGAGTCCGGCGGTCCCGCAGCAAAAGACTAAGGACCCCCCGCCGACTGTTGGGGGTCCAGTTTGGCCCGCCCCTTTGGGAGGGCGGCGAGCCGACGACGACCCGCCGCACCCCGCCCCGCCCCGCCCCGCCCCCTAATCGTGTGGTTGCGGTCTCATATCGGCGGCGGCCGGTGCCCGGGCGGTGCCAGAATCCACGCAGCTCCATCGAGTGCCCCAGCATCCATCACGGCCCGTCCTGTGGGAACGCGCAACGCTTCGGTGGACCGCGTTCGGCAAAGCCAAAGGGTGCAGAGGAGAGGCCGACAACGGCCGCCCGTCAGAAGTCAAAACCCCGCGGGTTACTTTTCCGATTTCACCCCGCGCGGGTACGCATCTGAAAAATTCGTGACGCCGGCACTGGGAGTCGAACCCGCGGCGCCGGTGGCGTGACACCCGGACGGGCGGCCGCGAAATCGCGATACATTTTGTTCCCGCGGCCTAATCAAGAGGATCGGTCTAGAACGCGCGGGAAGCCAGTCATTAATGAGCTTTGCCACGAGCCGCGCCGTGCCGCGCCGCACCGCGTCTTCATTGGTTCCGAGCGAGGGCCATCGCCGTGTGCGGGCTGCGGGGCTGCGGCTTGTGGCCGGGCGAAGTGGCCCAGTGCTAGTTTGGCCACATGGGGCAACCCTCTCTCTCCCTCCCTTCAGGACGGATCTGCAGCAATTAGCTGAGCGGCAGCCTTGATGAGATTATAAATCTGATGGCATGTTGTGTTGCCGCTTCCACCCCCGCCGCGCCCCGCCCCGCCCCCCGCGGAGCACGCCGAGCAGCCCAAGTGGATCAACTTAATGCCGGCGGTCGCAGGGGACCCCGGCCAGCAGACGGATTCCGCTGTCTCTCTCGCACCCCGGCGGAGGGCGCCACGAGTGCGAGAGAGACAGAGCGACGGAAGCGGTGTTCCGAATCGCCCTGCTGGCCTCCACCGCAAGCGTGTCCTCCCCAGGCCCAGGCGGGGTTCTCATGTCACTGGCAACCATTTCAACAACTTGGGCGACGCTTGGAACAGAGGCAGAGCGTAGGCACTGGGCTCCCGATGGTCCGATCCCACACCATCAAACCCGGCCGTGCCGTGCCGTGCCGTCCAGGCGGTGCCGTGGCCTGCCCGGGGAACGGGGCGTTAAACTCAAGAAGAGCCTCGATCAATCACACAAACCGCTGTCACGCTGCACCCGCTGCAGACCCATGCCGTCGCGCCGTCTCTCTCGCACGCCCGCGGGGCGCCCCTCGGAGAGCGAGAGAGACAGAGCGCCGTGCTGCACGGTGCCTGCACCCCCTGTCCCAGGCCTACCTCCGCGTTTAGGACCGTGCGCTGCCGCTCCGGAGTCCGGACGGTCCGGACCCCCTCTCCAGCAGATATAGAGCAGATTAATGCACAGGGTGATTACCACGTCAAAGCGTGTCGTATCCCAGACCCATTGTGGCGTTCGAGTGCTGCATCTGGGAAGGGCTGGGGCCTAAAGGCCTACGCGTCGGCCAGCATCGGCTGCATCGGCCTGCGCCACGGTAACCAAACAAAACAAAAAGCCCCTTAGAGGCAGGCTGCCTCTGCATGGAACACTAATTCACTTTTTTCCCCGTCGTCTGCTGCCGGTAAAGCCTCCGAGGCGAGGACCCCTTTTCGTTTCTTGTTGCCTTCGTCCAGCAGGGCCAGCCTGATCAACCTACCCCCGGGGCCGCTGCTGCCGCTGCTGCTGCCAGTCGCCGCCGGCGTGGCGAGGGCCTCCAGACGGCCTGCCGCCCTGGCCGCCGTGGCCCGCCTTGGCCTTGCCGCGGTCCAGCCACTGCTTCTTGCCCAGGCCGCCGATCTGCGAGGGCGCGTCCTTGAGCGCGAAGCTCTTGGCGTAGTGGCCCAGGTGCAGCGCCTTGAAGTTGAACACGGCGCGCGCGTCCACTGGGTAGCTGGCGTAGAACCGGACGAACGACACGTAGGCTGCAACAGACGGAAAGGCAGAGAGTGGCAGTGGTTTCCTTGGCTCTGGGCTCCGTGCGGGTGGCAGGTGGGTTGCCCACCCACACGGCGGCACGCACACCTACGCATGGCACGCAGGCCGGTTGGGTGGCCTGCCCACCAGGGGCACTGGGTCCCCCGGCTCGATGGGTGGCCTACCTCACGGGCGCGCGGCGGTCCTCCGCCCCCACCCCCACCCCCGCCCACGCGTAGAACGCGACGCACCTTTGCAAGCGAGATCGTGCAGCTCCTTGCGGCCGGTCACGGCGTCCTCGAAGCGGAGCTGCAGCTTGGTGGCGGCGAGCTCCGTGGCGCCCTTCCGCATCTAAAAAAAAAAAAAAGGTGCTAAAAATTTTTGCAGAACAGCAAAAATGCACTTTCTGTCCTTAATAAATGACTTACCTTGAGTAAGCCTGGATGTGAAACCGCCATGGTGGGAACGAGACTTTGTAGGCAGAGCTCTAAGCCCTCCTCCTTTATTCTAAAAAAATAATTTTAAAAATTAGAAAGAATATTTTAAAAAATGATTAAAGACAAACAGAAAAGGCTTACTTGACTTTACGGTCTTCAAGCTGTGAAATAAAAGTAGACTCTGAAGGGGCTAGTATGATGAGAGCTGAACCAGCTGTTCCCACTCTAGCAGTTCGTCCAACTCTGTGGACATAGTCAGCAGCTGTTGGGGGTGCAGTGTACTGTACAATCCAGTCGATGTGAGGAAGATCCAAACCTCGAGCAGCAACATCCTAAAAGAAGTAATTAAAAACAATTAATTTGCTGAGAGCAGGACGCACATGCGGTATGTTATACGAATTTATTACTTACTGTGCACAGGAGAACCCCTGAGGTGGCACTTCTAAATGTTTTGAAAACATCAGTTCTTTCTTTTTGAGTCATATTTCCATGGAGTTTGAAAAAATCAATGTCCACTAAACTCGGATCTTTTTCATCTTCTTCATCTTCATCTTTCTTCTTGAGTAAACCATATTCATCTTCAAGATCAGAGTCGTCATCAACTTCTCCAGTTTTCTTTTCACGGGTCCCAAGGACCGAAGATAGCATCTCAGTGTGAAAATCTACCATGTCTTGAGTAGCAAAAAATATGAGCATTTTTCTTTCATGAGACATCTAAAAGAAGGAAAACTAATATTAGAACATAACAGTAGCTTTGCAGAGTATTTGCTAATTTATTGTTACTCAATACTTACTCTACATTTCCAAACAATAAAAGATGCAAGTGTTACTAGTCTTAGCTTAGGTGGAATGAGAAGATACCATTGACTTAGACTCTCAGGTATGACTAGATCTTTTTCAATCAATTCCATGTCACCTTCTTCACCATCTTCATTCACAGTTGCAGCATCAACAAATTTAGGGTGCTTTAAAGTTAGACCTGCCAGCCGGTCAACAGAAGCACTCATAGTGGCCGAGAGCATAATTGTTTGTCTTTTCACATTATTCCGTCCCGCCAACTCCAGGAGGCTTGGCTTAACTTCAGGTGCATCAACATCTAAGGGATGAAACCGTTCCTTCTCCCCTTCTGGATTACCATACTGTTGCTCATTTAAAGACCTAACAAGACTGTAATTTCAAATGATACAAAAATTTGTTAAAAGAGTGCATTTAACAAATCCATTGAGATTGCCCTTTCTGAGAATGAAGTTTACCTTGCCACATCCTTTTCATAACCCATATCCAGTAAACGGTCAGCCTCATCAATAACCAACCACTGGACTTTGTCCAGAACAAGATTTTTGGTAGTTTCAACATGGTCTAATAATCGTCCCGGAGTGCCCACCAGAATGGCAATTCCTTTTCTTAAACGGGCTTTTTCAGATTTCTTCTTCTCACCACCAACTAAATAGCCAGGCACAATCCACGTAAATGGCTGAAATTCAAAAAGTTTTAAAACCAAATTTTAATAACTCATATTAATTTATAGTTTCTTTTGATTGAGCAGGGTAAAATTATACCTTCAAAAGTTTTACAAAACATTCATATGTCTGTAGAGCAAGTTCTCGTGTCGGGACAATCACCACAGCCCGAACTCCATCAGACCTTTGCAATTTTGGTCTTATTTTCTGCAAAGTTTCTACTATGGGTAAGGCGTATGCTATAGTTTTACCACTTCCTGTCTGAGAGCGCACAAGAGTATCTTTTCCGCTCATAATTACAGGGTAAGACAAACGCTGGACAGTTGTCACTTTAGACATACCCATGTTCTTTTCTAAATTTGCAATCTACAAATAAATTTAAAAATTCACAAATTAAACGCTGTAAAAAAAAACTCAAAAAGCCAAGAAAAGGGAGAGAAATTGCAGGTACTCACTAAATGAGGGTGAATTGGCATATCGTGAATAAGCTGAGCAGAAAACACACTCTCGGCGACAGGAGTAACATCTTTATGCTCCATGAAAGGAATGTCTTCAACATCTTTAAATAAAGCAGTCACAGCTCCTGCGGTTTTACTGACGGGTCGATTGGCAGGTTGGTCTGTCGATTCGTCATTTACTTGTTCGTCTTCACTTTCAACATCTTTAGGTTTGACCACTTCGAAATCCACATCATTCTCATCCTCATCCTCGGACTGAGGTTCCTCTTTCCTCTTAAACGGCTTTTTTTCTATTTGTTTTCCTTTGCCACTCTTCGACCATTTAGATACTTTTCCTCTCTTACCGCCCCAAGTTCCATCTTGATTTGGTCTCTGGAAGACAGAAAGACACGGTTACAGTCTCCAAAGGTTGCAGACCACACGAGGAAAAGTGAGGTTAACGCTTGATAAATTTAGAGCTAAAAACGGCTTTCGAACCTTCTGCGGCCTGCTGGTCTTCACGGGAATACTACATGTGTTTAGAGTAATATCTGACATGATTTTGGAGTGGGGTTCGTGCTGACACGAACTAGAAAACAGCAAACTTTGACAGTGTTTGGGAACAGGCACGAGTTGCGAACCAAAACAACGCGCCGTCTCTCTCACTCCCCTCCCCCTCTCCTTTAATCCATGTATGAGAAATTCAGCCGCGGGGAAACTTGATCGTTTCAAAACTGGCGCGAATCCTACCCGTTGTGAGGTACGGGTATTTTTCCTCGCCTTGGTATTCTGAAACTTTTTTTTTTTTCGGGCAACGCTGACACTGATCCTGGAAGGAAATCCCCGCCAAGCCGTTCCGCCAAAATAAAGTTGGCCGAACCCTTTTGCCTGCTCTTGCCCTGCGGCCCCATAAACCGTTATTTATTCGTCTCAAACTGCCTTCAAATCTGCGTTCGCCGCGGATGAGCGCATACCGCTCGAGTCGCAAACGGGGGGAGAGAGAGGTGCTCCGGGAGAAAGAGAGAGTGAGAAGGAGAGAGAGAGCCGGGAGAATTATGGCGCGTAGCAAAGTTCTCCTCCATTTTACACACGCTCCGAAACACGCCGGGCACGACGCATGGGGCCTAATGGAAGCAGAAGTGCCTGCGGGCTGATTCCGAGCTTTGGATCGCTCTGTCTTTCTCGCACTCGTGGCAGGGTGGCAGGTCTCGACGGGTCTCGCCAGAGAGAGACCTACTTCGGAATGGGCCTGCAGGGCCGTGGCAGCCTGGCGGCGGGCAAAGGGTTGCTTTCTTTGCCGTCCTTCCCTTTTTCTGCGCGCTCTGTGGCTTGATAGAGCAGTGAGGGGTGTTGGGGCTCGGCAGCTCCAGCGGCTCGCCTCGGAGCGAGGCTCGGACGTCCTTCTAATTGTGTGACGCTGTTAGTGGTCAGTAATGGATCCTGAGTGAGAAGGCCATCGCCCTGCTTCCTTCTCCTTCCTCCTCTTCCTTCTCTCTCTCTCTCCCGTCTTTCTGTGTTTGTGTGGAGGGTGGCCCGGAGTGGCAGCGAGGCACTTTAGTCAGTCAGTCGTCCTCCAGACAGGCCCAAACTCACCAACACTAATCGAAAAGGAGCTACAATCGATTTCGAACAAACTTGCTCGCCAGACAGGTGCGCGAAGGGCTGCCTACCTCCCAGGCGGCACCGCCTCGCCTTGGCACCGCGGCCCGGCCCCACGCTGCACGTGAGCGACGAGATAGAGCACCGCGCCAAACATAGCTCGGCTTGTCTCGAAGCGTGACTGCCGGACTGCGTGACTGCGTGACGGCCCGGGGGTGTGTGTCTCGGTGTCACCAGGTGACTGATTCCGAACAGCACCCTCGTCGCTCTGTCTCTCTCGCACTCGCCGCGCGTCCCGTGGGTGGAGTGAGAGAGACAGGTCGGAGTCCGTCCTGATGGCTCGGCGCACCGCGGTGCCGGAGGTGGCGGCGGAGGCCGGCATGCCGATGGACGCGCCCTCCGTCCTGCAGGCCCTGCAGGGCATCGCAGGGCATGCCCGACTCGGACCGCAAACTAACAAGGTTCGACTTGTGGCGCGCCGGCCGCGAATTTTCTCACGTGCCGAGGCGAGTAAGCAGCGAAGCGGTGAGGTGAGGCACTGCAGAGACTTGATTTCGAGAGTCGTTTTCGTCGCTCTGTCTCTCTCGCACCTACAGGGGACGCCGCATGAGTGCGAGAGAGACAGAGCGACGGCTCTCGGAATCAGTCTGCTGCAGCGGGGAGAGAGATCTCATTACAGTGGCGTTGCGCCGAAGCCATCGGCGTAACCATCGGCGTAGCCAGGGGGCAGGCGCGAACGGTCCGGTCTCGCCGCCCTGTCTCTGTCGCACTCAGGGGGCTCTCCGTAAGGGTGCGAGGGAGACGGAGCGACGAACCGCTGAAGCGGCGGCACCTTCGGCCACGCCACTGCTGCCTACGCCGGCGTCGGCGACCACAAGTACACAAGAACACTGGTAGCTGCGGCAACACATGCTGCTGTCTGGTGGGCACACCGGCACACCGGCACGCTGGCTGCGGTAAATGAAATGCAATTGTGTATGTAATGGCGGCGGGCCGCGGCGGGCCGACGGGGAAGCATTCCCGCGCGCAAACGAGTTGGTTAGCGCCGCGCGCCGCCGCCGCCGAGGTGATCATTTTCATACCCCAGCCGAGCCGTCTGTCTCTCTCGCACTCACGGGGCGCGTTGTGAGAGTGCGAGAGAGACCGCCGTGAAAACTGGCGCGGCGCGCTTTTTCCGCGGGCCGTATACCGTACGGCGCGCGGATCCGCCGCGCTGCCGGCGTCCTCCGCGACTACATTTTTATGGACGGCGCGTGCGGCGGCGGCGGCGTCGACGGCGTCCTCCCAAAACGCTGCTCCGCCGCCGCCACAACCGCGCCGTCGAGAAAATGGCCGACAGAGTACTTCCACGGCGGGCGGGCGGCGGGGGGGGCGGGGCGGCGGGCGCGGGGCGCGGCGGCGGGCGGGCGCGGGCGGCGCCCCTCTAGACAAATCCTCGCTTTCCATTGGCCACGCTGCCGCAGCTTTTCCGGCTTTTATCTCTCTGTCCTCGCCGAGACGCGGAGAGCATTAGGGGCAGGGCGAGGAAGGACGCCCCCGCAGCGCGCCTCCGCCCAGGGGGAGCGAGAGAGAGGGGGGATCGGTCGTAAATCCGGAGAGAGAAACGCAACTGTGTCGTCGTGTGTGTGAGCGAGCGCGTGTGTGTGGCAAGGCCGGCAAGGCGAGGCTGACGCGCCGCCGCCGCGGGGGATGAAGGGAAGATAGAGAGAGGAAAAAATAGAAGAAAGTGCTAAACAGAGATGATAGAATGAGACGGAGAAGGGTGTGGGGGCGGATAGAGCGATAGAACGCGATCCAAGTCGTCGGCACTTTGCCGCCAGCGAGCGGCGCGCAGTGCACGGGTCTTCTTTTGTCCCCGGTGACCATGCCGCCGCCGCGGGTTCCAACACCTCTCTCTCTCTCGCACTCTCGTGGCGCCCCGAACGAGCGCGACAGAGACAGAACGCGGCCGCGGGGACGCCGCTGCTGAGCACGCATTCACGGACTCCATCCATATCCCAGTCGGGCCGCGTCCGCGTGTCAACGTCAGAGGGGCGTTTTCTGAGTCATTGCTTTGCTGGCTTATTTGCCGACAGTTTCCGCAGGGTGGAGGTCCCAACCCGATTCCATTAAAGGCTCCTAAAGAAGTAGGGGAATAAGGAAAGTCGTGCCTCCGTATTTACAATGTGGTCTATATTTCATTCGTATTAAAAATTCATACAATTAACAGTCTTATCCCTTATGTAATCTTACTCAAACTTTAAAAAGCGCATCTATCGCGCGGAAAAAAACGGTTAAACCTAACGATCACAGAAAATCTTTCCTCCTAGGAAAACAAGCCGGGCACAAACACACAAGCGGTTCACACCTCGTCGGACCGGAGGGGCTCCTTGGACGCCAGCGTCGACAGGCAGTAGCCCTCGTCGCCGGGGCCGGCGTGGCGGTGCTGGGGCTTCTCCGACGACGACCACCTCCTGTGCGCCACCAAGACCACCAGCCACGTGTACGCGTTCACCACTGCGGACCAAAAACAATTGCGTTGAACAGTGCAGAGGTTGGACAAAGTTCGGCGAGGCGCGCGGCTTACGCAGGTAGATGGCCGTGACGGCGATGTGCACCAGGGCGGCGCGCTCCGCGTCCTCGTCGCGCTGCTGCTCGTGCTGCCGGGCGTGCTCCTCCCAGGCGTGCAGGTCCTCGGCCTTGTGGTAGGGGTGCGGCGCCATGGGGTGCACGTAGCGCAGGGGGTGCTTGGCGTCCGACACGAACTGCCCGTACTGCGCCACCTGCAACAAGCTCGCCGTCAGCGCGGTGGCCGGCGGCCTCTCTCGCACCTACACGGGATGCTCCATGGGTGCGAGAGAGACAGAACGAGGAAGATGACGCTGCCGCGAGGAGGTTCCCCCAGGACGAGCACCTGCACGACGACGCGGGCGATCTGCGAGGCGACGGACAGCGCCTGCAGCAGCAGCCAGGGCAGCGCGCCCCACCGCAGCGTCTGGAAAGTGCACCGCAAAAATTACAATCACGTCGAAAAACAAGAAAAAGAAACAAAACTTGGTCTTCGCCCAGCGTCGACAAAGCCAGGCGAAGCCTCACTCACCTTGATGGTGGTGCGAGCGAGCAGGACGCTGGCCGTCCAGTAGAGCGCGGCGAACGCCAAGAAGCCCGCCAGAACGTCGCGCACTGCAACAGGGAGCATGACGTCACCGAAGCCAAGCCGTCGCCCTGGAGGGAATGTCCGCGAATAGACGCGGACCGCACTGCACAGCGCGCAGCGGACTTTGGACCGGACCAAAACAACCCAGCGTTTCGGCTCGCCTCGCGGTGTGCTCACCGAAGGGGTCGAAGGGCTGCGGCTCGGCGTCGACGCCGTCCTTGAAGGGACCGTGGTGGTCGTGGTGGTCGCGGTGCAGGGAGTGGCGCTGCTTCGAGTCCAGCTCGTCCAGGCTCAGCCCCAGCAGCACGGCCACGCCGCCGTCGCCCGTGCCGCGCGCCAGCTCCGAGGCCAACTGCGCCACCACCACGGTGGACGTCACCTGCAGCAGGAACAGGGGGCACTCTCAATCAACGCGAAGCAGGCCACGACGGCCACGACCCAGCAGACTGACTCCAGTCGTTCCTCTCTCCCTCGCCTAAACTAGACACCCTGGCGAGAGAGACAGAGCGTCAAAACTCACCACGCCGAGCACGGCGACCATGCGGGCGCCCACCGCGATGTCAACACAACACAGAGGCATGGCGTGCGGATCGTTCGGGTCGCTCCTCGAGGACGTCGAGCTGGTGGTGTCTCAGTCCACGCTGCGCGCCACATGCGTCCCGGTTCGAGCTCGCGCAACAAGTCCAACTAGTCCAGCGGGGTCCGCTCCAGACTCTCGGCGACAACGAGTACGGCGTGGACGGCAGGCGGCGGGCGGTGTCGACGTGATGGTGCTCTGGCGGCGGGGCGGCCGGCAGTAGAAGACCCGGACTCGACTGGCGGACGGACGGACGCGTTCGGGCGGCTGCGTGGCGTGGCGGACTGGCGGACCTCCACTCGCAGCGACAGCCGGCGAAAGCGACACCACACTAGCGCCGCAGCGGCCGAAATAAAAGTGCTGAGGAAGAACGCCGAGACTGGACAAGACGGCGGCAGGGTGGCCGGCGACCAACCGATGACGATGGCGCGTCAGCAGCCCGCCAGCCCGCCAGGCAGGCAGAACGTCGCACGGCGCTGCACGTTGGGCGGCCTGCCTACCGGGCGGCGCGCTGCCTGCCCTCGGGCCTGCCGCCAGAGACAAAGACCATGCCTCCTCTTCAGCGGATAAGTCCGTCCGTTGATTACTTTGCCCCAGCGTGCCCCGCGCGACTGCAGTGATAAAGTGCCCAGAGAGTCGCCGTCTTCTCGAAATCGATTCGAGATATCGAGTCGAGACATCGCGGCACCAGGGGAAGCGGGTCGAGCGTCGTCTGCCGATTTGCAAAGTTGTTCCCTCTTACCTCCGCATCGCGAGTCGCGGGGGCCGAGCAGAGCAGTGCTCGCTCGCTCCGTCTCTCTCGCACCCCAACCGCACGCCCTGCGAGTCCGAAAGAGAGAAAGAGAGAAAGAGAGAGAGGGCAGAGCCTCTGTTCGGGAGCAGCCTGCTGTTTCCCTTTCCGCAATGCGAAAAATGCAAAAGTTTACGAGAGCGACTCGCCGCCGCCGCCGTTCGCCAATTTGGCGACGACGATGAAGAAGTGGAAATGGAACGGAGTTTTTCCGCGAGGAGAAAATAAAAAGAGGGAAATAAAATAAAAGGAGGGGGAAGGGAGGGGGAAAAAAGGGGCTGGAAGCAATGACATGCCTGGAGGCTGTCTGGAGGCTGGCAGCGGGCAACGCGACGAACCGCTGGAGCAGAAATGCAGAAATGTGGACAGGAATGGAATGGTTTTGTCACCACCGCCACCACCACCACCACCACCTACCGCGCAGTGCCGTGCCGTGCCGCCTCCCCCGCGCCGGTCCAGGGGTGCTAAAATATGCAGGCCGGGTTGGGGGCCGTCCGGGTCCGGCGGCGGGACCTCCGCGCCTCGCGCCGACACCCCGCGGGGCCCACGGCCGTGCCGCCGTGCCGCGGCCTGCAAGCGTGTCCAGGAACCACGTAACACGCCAGTGTTTGGTTCCAGTCCCGTTTGAAGGATTCGCGGAGCATAAAACGCGCTGGACGGAAAACTCCGCTCTAGTTCCAAAGTACACTCCACACAGGCCTTTCCGCCCCGCTGTGCGCGTTGGCGCGCCGGCAAGGCCCCCGAAGGACCCGAAGGGCTGCCGAGAGGTTCCCGAAGGACGCCGAAGCGTCCCGAAGGCCGAGGTGGAGGCCGAAGGGTGGGAAGGGCGTGGTAAAATGGCGGAGTGGCAGCGCCGGGCCGAGCTAACCCTGTTTGCCTCGACAATGCCTCGCCCTGCCTCGCCGGTGCAACGAGATACGGCAGCGTGAAAGGGCTGTGCGGCACAGACTAGCCGCTAATAGGTCGAGGCAGCCGAGGCGTGGCGGGGCGGGGCGGGGCGGGGCGGGGCGGGGCAGCCCGGAGTGGCTGGCTCGCCAAATGGAACAGTTAGCGACTCTGGAGGACTAATTGGTCGGGGCACTTGGCAGACAATCGGGACTGCCCCACGGCCGCTCCAGGTGGCCGACGACGCCGCTGTAGCGACACTGGGAATGGCCCCCAGCCTGACGGGCCGCGGCAGGAGAGGAGCTTTCGCAGCGTCACTCTGCATGTTTTCGTGATCCGGAATTCGGAATATATTCATGACCCCATTAAAACGCGGCTTCCTGCACTATTCCTCATCGCCCGATAACTTTTACCATTCCCCGGCGTGGCTGGCGGCGTCCTCCCGACGCGACGCGACGCCCAGCGACTTTCTGTCTGGCAGCCCCGCCGCCCCGCCGCCCCGCAGTCACGGGCGGCAAAATTTGAAAACACTTTTCGCTTCGCGCGGCTCCATTAATTCGCTGTGTGAGTTCGTGTGAGTATGTGTGTGCATGTGCGAGCGAGAGAGAGACATGGTAAAGTGGGTTTTATGGCAGGGTGTGCGAAACACTATACGGGGCCGAGCGGGCCCCCGGCGGGGCGGGGCGGGTGGTCGGTCTGTCGAGACGGAGGACGGAGGCAAGTACTGAGAGCGAATCGGTTTCCGGCTTGGCAGTCCGCGCATGCGGCGGCAACCCTTCCCCCTGCAGACTGATTCCGGCCGGGGAAATCTCTCCCTCTCTCTCTCTCTCTCTCTCCCTCTCCCACACTCAAAAGGCGTTCCTTGTGGGTGCGAGAGAGACAGTCTGTTGTCCCTTCCCGTCCACCACATCATCATCAGCAGTGCGACTTGTGCAGAAAGGTCTGCTTTGACCGCCACGATGACTCCGACGGCGGAGAGAGAGAGAGAGAGAGGAGAGAGAGAGAGAGAGAGAGAGAGAGAGGCAAAAAAATATCGGCACGCTCTGACAGCACTACATTCCGTATTCCGCCCCATTTGACTCTCTGGCTTTTCCCTCCGGCATGTCGAGGAAGGCCGCGGCACAAAGAAAGACGGATCGCGGCAACAGCATGAGGGAAATATCGCGAGTGAATATTTTTGCCGAGGGAAACTTTTATCCGTCGCTGCGTAATGCAAATGGGCGCAAATAGTCGCTTTTCGGAGGTCAAACAGAGTCGGAATCCGAGATTCGGGACGACGCGGGCTGCGGGGTCGGTGGAGCAGACGCTTAGCGGGGCGGCGCCTGGAACCCAGCCAGCCCAGCCCCCCCCCCCCCCCGGGGGGGGGGGGGGGGGGGGGGGGTCGAGGCTGCGTTATGAGGGGTAGCGGAGCGGGGTCAGCGAGGCTGGTGGACGAGGGATTCACGTGACCACGGACGACGGTAGTATGAGAAGTTTCATCAAAGCGGATAGCTGGAACTGGCTGGCTGGCTGGCTGGCCGGCTGGTTCCCCACGACGGAAACGGAGCCACACCCTTTCTAACCCAATTTGCGGGCGACCCCCTCGGACAGGCGCGGGGCGCGGACAGGCGTCGGGGCGGCGTAAGTTGTACTGATGAGCACGATGAGACAGTCGTCGGTAATAGTCTGTGTTCTGTGTTCCCAGTTTCGTGTTTCTCCGCTTAGTTGAGAAACAAAGTTGTTGTCGCGCGTCGCGTCTCGGCCTGCGCCGGGCGAGGCGGCCAGCACACTGACTCCGAGGGTCTGTCGTCGCTCTGTCTCTCCCGCACTCACGGGGCGTCCCGTAGAGGTGCGAGAGAGGCAGAGCGACGAAAGCGACCCCCGGAATCGGTCTGCAGGGGGTGTCGTCGGCGAGTTGCACAAGACGCGCTGGTGCTTCCCCCGTCTGAGGTTGCCACCGAGCCCGCCCCGCCCCGACAGTGGGCGGATGACAGTGCGCCTCGTCGCTCTGTCTCTCTCGCACCACAGTGGCACGCCCCATGAGTGCGAGAGAGACAGACGTGTTGGGGAGACGGAACAACTGCAGCGAAATAAAGGCGCCGGCATCGGCAGATTCGGCTAAAGTTTCCGCTTGGCGCGCGCGCCGGCCGAGTGGCAACCCTACACGGGCGCGTCGCCCGGGCGGCAACCCTACGCGCACGCGCGGCACGCCTCGGCAGACCGGCCCACAACAAACGGCAAATTGTATCACGAAACGCAAGTGCGATGTGGCGAAAAATAACGACGCAGTAATAAGGGATGAATCTCCGCCCACTCGCTCCCCTTTTAGTGTGTGTGCGCGCGCGTGTGTGCGTGTGTCTGTGTGCGTCTGTGTGCGTCTGTGTGTGTGCGTGTTTACTCCGTTTGCAATGCAAATGTCCGCCTCGCTCGCTGAGTCTATCCCACCGCTCTCTCCAGCAGTCTCCGACCATGCTCCAACCCCGTCTCTCCTCTCGCCCCCACTCCTCCCTCTATCTCTATCTCTCTCCCTCTCTCTCCCAGTCCCCCGCCAGGCCCCGCTGCTGACTTAACGCGATACGGAAACACCAATAAAGTTTGCGCCAGTCGGGAAGATTCTAGTCGTCTGGTTTACGAGCGTCATGTCGGTGTACGTCATACACGGCGGCGGGGAGGGGCGCGGGCGGAGCGGCGGCAGACTCAAAACAAGCAGTCGTCCTGTTTTTGCGGCGAAATTAGAAAGAGTTTGAAACGATTCAAATTGTGTGTTTTGCGTGACTTTAAGGCGAGCCTGGCCGCCCGGCAGGTAGGCCAGCCGTCCGCTCCTCTGGGCGGCGTGTTGCCTATACCTCGTTCCGTAGGCGGACGGCCGGGCAGGGCGCAAATGACTCTTTGGATCAAGAAAACAAAAACTCCTCTTGGCTTTTCATTTAAAGAAAACAATTCTTGATCCAAACCTTTTCTTGTTTCAAAAAAAAAATAATCTTGAATCAAGATTTTTCTCGGATTTGCTTTAATCCAGAGGGAGTCAAGAAACCAAGAAGGTGGGTCTCTCGGTCCGCGTAGAAGCCGACTTGTTCTCCTTCGTTAAATCCATTTATAATTTGTTGTTTTGAAATTCATCTGCCGACACTGAGACAACGGCCGAAGCGGCGGCGGGGTCCTTAGGTCCTTAGCCCTCGCCGAAACTAAAGGTGTGCCCTGAATGGGTCGGAAGGGCGCGGGGGTCCTTGTCCTTTGTTCGCCTGGAGTCCGACAGCGAGGCTCGCCCCACCCGTGCGTGCGAGAGAGACAGACAGCGGTGCTGTTCGGAAGGTGCCCCGGCCCAGGGCTCGGCACGAGGCCAGCGGCCGCCGATTCGGAACACGTCGCTCTGTCTCTCTCGCACTCGAGGGGCGTGCCCGGGGGTGCGAGAGAGACAGAGCGACGACACGCTGTCGGGAATGGGCCTCCGGTGGGTACCCCTGATAGCACGCAAATCGCTCCCTTTCACCCCCCCCCCCCCCCCCCACAGGCCGGCCGCGGCCGCTTCAGTCCGTTCAGCTCACCAAGGCGACGCCGAAACCCCTGAAACCGGTTGAAACGCTGAAACGACGCGTGAACCAAGCCCCGTTCGGCTTGGCCGACGCCTTCGGAGAGAGGGGAGGGGGGGGGGGGGGTCGGCACAGCGCGCCAAGGGCAGCCAAGGGCCC